CGAGCGCCTGCGCGAGTGACTCCGCCCATGATGTCGTGGACGATGGCTCTCAGCTTCCCACTTTTCGTCGTCGTCATCGGTACGATATACTCGCCTCCGAACTGGGCGGCTCGTGGACCGGTCGTGCGTTATGAACGCGAAGTGAGAGCCCTTGCCATGTCCGAGTTATATTGGACACGCTCGGAGAGGTCGCCAGCATCACGCGGGTTGCCCCGCCAAGGATCGTCGTCGCATGGTTCCCCGTATGCGGGGTTCCCAATGGCCTGCGGTCGATGCATCAGTCGGAGCTCCTCCTCCGCAGCTGGCATGGTCGCATCAGAGTCCGCAGGTGCCCCCGCCATTTCGCGATCCGAATCGGCGGGCACGCGATAGTCCTCGACGAACTCAACCTGCGCAGGTTGCTCCGCGATAAGATTGCCCAACCAGTCCGCCAGGTTGATCTCGTCGCGGCCAACGTAGACCTCCTCTCAGAGCCCATCGGCAGATCGCTCGAGGGACACGCTGGCGCGCAGATACCTCGCGACCATGAAATGGACAACGGCAGCGGGGCCGTCTTCGGGTTCGGCGAGAAGCGTCTCTCAATCGACATACTGAATGTTGGTTTGAGCCAAATGCTTTGACGGACCCCTGCCTCCCCCATCGCCACGAGGGCATTCACGACGAAAATGTTGTGTACTATGGCAGATATCACAGCCCATGGTTTCCCCATTGGCGTCTTTCTGGTTACCCCGGCGCCCCTCACCAATTCCTGAGGCGCGCCCCTGCGGCCCCCACCTGACCCCAGGAAAATTCCTTCGCATTGCGGCCCCGTAAGGGATGCCAAGAATGCCAACATACCTCCGCCATGTAATCTGCGTCGCGCGCCCTTACCTTTGCCTCTACCCTTGCCCTTCGACCTAAACGCCCGTCGGACAGCGCCTCGCCCCTTGCGAAATGGTTTATTCACAGCGTCTCCATCGGCGTTCGTGTTTCCGGTACCCTAGGAATAACCATTGCGCCTGCTGCTCTTCGGTGAGATACACAGGCATGTCAGAGTAGTCCAGAGCACCAGTCCCCTCATGTGATGAGGCGTCGGCGTCGGTGCCAGAGTCAAAGTCAGATTCGGCGGTTTGCCCCGCAGAGCCTACAAGGGCAGCGGCTTGAGCAGGGGCCACCGTTGCTGACAGTCCCTGATAGCGAGCACAGGAGTGCTGCGTCCTCGCAGGCTGGCCTCCTCGTTGTATCAGCAAGGTGGTGGCCTCAGTTGGTCGTGGATCGTCGGTCCAGACGTCATTAGCAGATTGCCCTGCGCGAGCGTCGGCATGAAAAGCTTCGGCACGATGACCGCGGCTAAATACACCACCAATGTTGACAGGGGTTCGCTCAGCAATGTGTGCATAAGACCTCATGCGCTCTAATAGAAAATCATAATGTTGCTGAGTCCTTGGCATTCGGTGGTTCAGTGGTTGTAGTAATTGCTGCGCACGCGATGTGCCAACACCCAGAGCTCTGAACAAGATAACTGCTAGGATCTGGAAGTTGGGAACGTTGAAGCCTGCAATCTCGGCCCTAAAGCGCGCCATCACAAAGCAAGCTAACGTCTGGTCGATCCGCTCTCCCGCATGGACGCGAAAGTCGATGAGAGCCATTCCCAAATTAAGTTGGCGCTCTTCCTCTAGATGTTCAAACTTCGTGATGGGAAGGAACATGACGTAGGTGACGCCGTCATTATGGCGACCACCGATATTTACGCCAAAATTAACGATTGCGGAAGGTACTCTCATGGCTTTGGTCGTTGCGAGCCCTCCCACCAGACCACGCTGTACTGCCGCGGCCTGTTGAAAGGGGGTCATGTTGCCTGTAGTCACGTTGATCCAGGCGAGTACCTCGCGAACGGATTCGCGGAAAGGTACGTCACCGCCAAGGCCCCCGTGGGGGGCCGGTAGTACGCGCGTTGTATCCGCCACGCTGCATGCGCCCAACATCACGTCCGATAACGACCCTTAGGAGGCCAAATATGGTAATACCAATCCAATGGCCCCTTAGGTCGTGGTCGTATGTTTGTGGCTGTGGGTCATGATGTGATGTCGTCGTCAGCTTGCGTGGGGGTGGAGACGGCACAGTATCGTATCGCATGTTGCCATGCATCGCGCGGTCAAAACTTTCAAATTAGAAGAGGAGGGCGGACTTCAGGAGTGTAGTAGCGCAAAGAGGTAGGTAGGACTCATGTAAGAGGCCTCCGCGTGAACGGAGGTAGCACTGCAAGTGTCCTTGCGGTCGTGCGTAGATCTGCATATTCCTCCGCACAGACCGACTGCACCCGGATGTTCCACCATGTCAGTAGTCCACCAGATAGTGCCGTGGATGGTGGGGAGTAGAGCCAGAGCTGACCACCACAGGCCAGCTCCGCTACCAATTTGGAAGGGGGCTGGGAGGCCCAACCATACGCTTCGCCTAAAGCGAAGCCCATATCCAACTCTGTTGTACCGTAGTAAAGATAGTCCCAGAAGTAGGAGATCGTCGCGGGAGAGACGGGCCATGTCAAGCGAAGATGATTTCGGTCTCAATGACAAGTAGTGTGCCTCGCGATAAGGCAGTCATATCTTGGCGGCCGGCCGCTTGAGTACAAACGGCCGCGGACAAACACTCGCTATCTCTCGCCTTTGCCCCAGCCTCCTTTAGAGTCACTACTGGTTCGAACCCCCCTTCCCCCCCGAGGTCCATTATGAAAAGGGGGGGTCACTAACGCTTCGAACCCCCCCTCCTCACCTCTGGCAAACGACTCTCGCTCCTCGGGACAGTGGAACAGTGGTGGGGACAGAAGAACAGTGGTGGGAACGGTGGTGGTGGGAACAAAGGTATAAAGATAGTGGGACAATGGTGGGGACAGTGGGGACAGTGGGACAGTGGTGGGGACAGTGGTGGGGACACTGGCGAAGGGACAGTGGAACAGTGGTGGGGACAGTGGGGATAGTGGGACAATGGTGGGGACGGTAGTGGTGGGGACAGTGGTGAGGGCGGTGGTGAGGACGGTGGTGGGACAATGGGACAGTGGTACAGTGGGGAGAGTGGTGGGGACGGTGGGGACAGGGGGGCACTGGTGGGGACAGTAGGGACAGTGGGACAGCACAGTGGGACATGCTTGGCATGTCTGCCCACCTCCCATCCATGCCTCTGCCCCCCGCATGTCTTCGTTTCGGCGCACTCCTCACACGAATCGTGGCCCCATAGGGAGCTCCAGCGAAGGCCCCGGTAGAAAAGTTCGCAGAGCGGCACCGCCCCATTGTGGCGTACCCCTCACACGGCTCGGGGCCCCACTGGGAGCTCCACCGAAGTCCCCATGGCGGCACCGCCCTATTTTGGCGCACCCCTCACACAGTTCGTGGCCCCATAAGGAGCTCCAAGGTAGACCACAATGGCAAAGTTCGCATGGTGGCGCCCTCCAGTTTGGCACACCCGTCATACGCATCGTGACCCCAAAATTCGCATGGCGGCACCACCCCACGTTGGCACACCTCTCACACGATCCGTTGCCCCATAGGGAGCTCCAGCGAAGGCCCCAGTAGAGAAGTTCGCATGGCGGCACCGCCCCATTGTGGCGCACCCCTCACACGGCTCGTGGCCCCATAGGGAGCTCCACCGAAGGCCTAAGTGGCAAATTCGCATGGCGGCGCCGCCCCACGTTGGCACACCTCTCACACGATCCGTTGCCCCATACGGAGCTCCAGCGAAGGCCCCAGTAGAAAAGTTCACATGGCGGCACCGCCCCATTGTGGCACACCCCTCACACGGCTCGTGGCCCCACAGGGACCTCCACGGAAGGCCCCAGTGCCAAAATTCGCATGGCGGCACCGCCCCACTGTGGCGCACCCCTCACACGGCTCGTGCCCCCACAGGGAGCTCCACCAAAGGCACCAGTGGCAAAGTTCGCATGGCGGCACCACCCCGTTGTGGCGCGCCTGTCACACGCATCGTGGCCCCATAGGGAGCTCCAGCGAAGGCCCCGGTAGAAAAGTTCGCAGAGCGGCACCGCCCCATTGTGGCGCACTCCTCACACGGCTCGGGGCCCCACTGGGAGCTCCACCGAAGGCCCCAGTGGCAAAGTTCGCATGGCGGCACCGCCCCATTTTGGCGCACCCCTCACAGGCTCCGTGGCCCCACAGGGACCTCCACCGAAGGCCCCAGTGCCAAAATTCGCGTGGCGGCACCGCCCCATTGTGGCGCACCCCTCACACAGTTTGTGGCCCCATAGGGAGCTCCACCGAAGTCCCCAATGCAAAGGTCGCATGGCGGCGCCGCCCCATTTTGGCACACCTCTCACACGATCCGTTGCCCCATACGGAGCTCCAGCGAAGGCCCCAGTAGAGAAGTTCGCATGGCGGCACCGCCCCATTGTGGCGCACCCCTCACACGGCTCGTGGCCCCACTGGGAGCTCCACCGAAGGCCTAAGTGGCAAAGTTCGCATGGCGGCGCCGCTCCGCTTTGGCGCACCACTCACACGGTTCGTGGCCCCAGAGAGAGCTCCACAGAACGCGTTGCCACTACACGGTACATGGACCATCGGCCGATCCAGCCACCCAGGACCCATCAACTGCCCAATTCAACGGTCGTCCCCCTCCAAATGGCCTCAAAATGGCCTCCAAAGCGCCCCAGACAGACCCGTGTGAACTTCCCAGAGTATTGGTTTTCCCGCTCCAGAGACGGCCACGATGGCTGGAGATGGCCTCCAAGATGCCTCCAAGACGTCTAAGATGGCCCCACGAGACCCTGGATGGCCGCAAGATCTCTCCAAGACGGCCCAAGATGTACCCAAGATGGCCCCAAGATAGCCCAAGAGGCCTGGAGAGGCCTCCGAAAGAGAGCCTCCAGGAAAACCCCACGAAATCTCTCCTCCTCCTCCTCCTCCTCCTTCTCCTCCGCCTCCTCCTCCTTCTCATCCTTCTCCTCCTCTTCCTCCTCCTCCTCCTGTCTCCCCCACGTGCTCCCCGAAGCTCTTTCACAACGGCTGGAGGAACACATGATCCGATAGCTTGGCCGAGCTCGGGCCACAACGTTCGGGCACCTAGGCGCTTATGAAAGGCAGAAGCGGCGGTGATTCGCCGTAGGCCCTCGATCAGGGAGCGGAGGAACAGGAGCAGGAGCTATGCACCCCGCTCAATACAGCATTAAAATAACTGCCGCAACGCCTTGTTTACAAGGCGACCCGATGGTGGCAACTCTCAGGCACCATCGCCTCCTTGGTGTGATCATCTTCGCCGAGTAAGCCTCCCACTTGATACCCGGCGCGACCGAGGTTCTTCACGTAGAGGTTTAGATACTTGAAGCCCTGGTGTGTGCGCCCGTGGGCGACCTTCACCTGGACGGTCCCGAACTTGACCCAGCGGGAGCGCTGGTGGCCGCCGCCCTGAGCGCGGTAGTGGAAACCGCCAGCGCGCTTCACATTCGCCCACGACCCTGTGATGTTCAGCTCTTGGAAATAAATGTCAGCGCATTGCCCACCCAGCCTTTGCACGTCCCCGTCCACACGGAGCAGAATATTCGTATCGCTCCGTCGTGGAATGTGTATTAAGACGTGCCTGCCCGTCTTCATCAAGTCGAAACGCTCACCATGAATGTTCTGCAAATGCGGATCGCCAACTGCAGACGACATTGTCGCAGGGACGGCCGTAGGGTTTAAGGCTGTCGGGTACGGCGTCGGATCGGCCGTCGGGTACGGCGTCGGAAACGCTGTCGGGGAGGCTGTCGGGTACGGCGTCGGGAAGGCCGTCGGATACAGCGTCGGGAAGGCCGTCGGATGTGGCGTCGGATCGGCCGTCGGGTCCGGCGTCGGGAAGGCTGTCGGGTACGGCGTCGGGAAGGCCGTCGGGTATGGCGTCGGGAAGGCCGTCGGGTAAAACGTCGGGTCGGCCGTTGGGCTGGGCGTCGGGTCGGCCGTCGGGAAGGCTGTCGGGTACGCCGTCGGAAACGCTGTCGGGAAGGCCGTCGGGTACGGCGTCGGGTACAGCGTCGGGAAGGCCGTCGGGTAGAACGTCGGGTCGGCCGTCGGGCTGGGCGTCGGATCGGCCGTCGGAAAGGCCGTCGGGTACGGCGTCGGAAACGCTGTCGGGAAGGCCGTCGGATACGGCGTCGGGAAGGCCGTCGGATACAGCGTCGGGAAGGCCGTCGGATGTGGCGTCGGATCGGCCGTCGGGTCCGGCGTCGGGAAGGCTGTCGGGTACGGCGTCGGGAAGGCCGTCGGGTATGGCGTCGGGAAGGCCGTCGGGTAAAACGTCGGGTCGGCCGTTGGGCTGGGCGTCGGGTCGGCCGTCGGAAAGGCTGTCGGGTAAGGCGTCGGGAAGGCTGTCGGGAAGGCCGTCGGGTACGGCGTCGGAAACGCTGACGGGAAGGCCGTCGGGTATGGCGTCGGGAAGGCCGTCGGATAAGGCGTCGGGAAGGCCGTCGGCGCTGGAGTAGGCGCCTGCGTTAGTGCCCCCCTTACGCAGCATCCGCGCTCACAGGGCCAGGATCTCTGGGGCGTGAGAAACCTAAGTGTTTTCACGCTGTCTCGCTCTGCGGCTTTAGGAACCCAGGTTTTTACGCTATCCTGCTCTGGGGCGTTAGGAACGCAAATGATATCGCGATTGTCCCACAACCAAATTAGATACCGCCCTGGGTGGCCTGGCGGAAGTAAACCTCCCTGCTGTGGATGGCCAGGACGGCTGTGACAGCCAACTGCCGCGCTGCCAGGGTGCGCGCATCGCCAGGGGCAGGATCTCTAATAAATTACGGTGTGTCCGGCCCACCAGGGCCAGGATCCCTCGTAACCCTACGGAACGTGCCAATGGACGTGCCACGGGACGTGCCAAGGGACGCGCCGCGCGACGTGCCAGGGAGACTCGCCACGGAACGCGCCAAGGAACGTGCCAGGTGCAATGTTGAGTGTATCGATCTTGATGTGCCGACGGCTGTGCTGTGCTGGGCCGTGCTGAACTGCGATGTGCAATGCCGCGGTTGTGCTCTATATAGCGTTGTGGACCGAGACCTCTTTGCATCCGAGTCCTGACCGAACTGATCTGGATCGTAAGCTCGAGCTGCCTGAGCAGATGGTAGCTGCCCCAGAACTAATCGACAGGGGGACATGCCAGGAGGACGCGCCGCGGAACGTCCCAAGGGACGCGCCAGGGGTCGTGCCAAGGGGACGTGCCATGGGCACGCACGGCGGGACGTGCCAAGGGGACGCGCTACGGAACGTGCCAATGGACGTGCACCGCGCGACGTGCCAGGTGGACTCGCCACGGGACGCTCCGCGGAACGTGCCAGGCAGCATGCCAGGCTGCAATGCTAAGGGTATCGACATTGATGTACCGTGCCGAGGGCTGTGCTGTGCCTGGGCGACCTGGACACGTGAAAACACGCGTTCCGCTCAAGACGTTCTCAGCACATCCTCATGCTAGACATACGCCTGGGCAACCTTGACACGTTCAAACAAGCGTCTCGATCGAGACTTCCTCGACACATCCTCATGCTAGACATCCGCCTGGGCGACCTGGACACGTGAAAACAAGTCTCTTGTTCGAGACATCCTCAACAAATCCTCATGCTAGACATCTGTTTGGGCAACCTGGAGGCGTGAAACCAAGCGTCTCGCTCGAGACATCCTCAAGACCTGGGCACGTGAAAACAAGCATTTCACTTGAGAGATCCTCTGAATTCAGGTCCCCAGGAGAGGACAATCTATAACACAAAGCAAGCATTTTTCGCAATTCGAAAGGCCCTACGCGACCTCGTTATGTATCGCAAAATAATTTCGCCGGCCCTACAGCCGTCAGAACCGGGGGTAAACACACTACAAGAGAACCCTGGGCCCCTGCCCTTTCCGGGAAAATACGTGGTCCTTGCTCGGGACAACCATGTTAGATATCCCCCTTGATGGCCTGGACACCTAACATGATCGACCCACGAACCCTGAAAGGAATATTTATTTATTTTTTATATATATATATATATATATATAAATAAATAAATAAATGCGAGGCATGGCAACGTTTGAAAGACACCTGATTGGGCGACGGGCAAATGTAATGCTGAATGTGTCGATCTTGATGTACTGTGCCGAGGGCTGTGCTGTGCTACGCCGTGCTGAACTGCGATGTGCCATGCCGCGATTGTGCTCTATATAGCGTTATGGATCGAGTCCTCCCTGGCATCCGAGTCCACAACAGCTGTTTCGAGAATGTCTACGGTGCGAACGCCATTTTCAAAGATCCGACAAGTTTTGCTGTGGTGCCAGCGTCGCAGCGTAGACGTCGTGTACCTCTTGCGCTGATAACGCCGACCTGTAAAACTGAAGGTCGTCGATGGAAGCATCCATGAAGTACGACCCTGAACTGCCAACTGAATTGTAGTAGCTGCCGAGAACTGCTTTGTCGACCAAAGCGGTGCTGTACGATGTGCCACAACTCGATGCGAGAGCCTCATACAACAATTCACCGTCCTTGAACAGACGCGTCCCTGTAGGGTCTGAGACGATCGCAAAATGCACCCAAGTATTGAACGCATGCGGATAGGCAAACGATCTCTCCCCCGCAGCATGAGAGCCCTGGCAATTCCCGTACATGCTGGAAAATTTAACAGTGTTATCGCTGTCAAAATATAATGCCCCTTGCCCATTAGGTCTAAGATCAATCAGGTAAGACCGACCTGGCGTAAACGGATTGTGCCCCCGCATGTCCATCCACAGCAACATACTGAAGGTGTCGCCCGCCGTTCCAATCGAGAATTCTGCTGCACCTGAATAGTTCTCGAAGGAAATAGCTCCAACGCTGTTTTTGCCAGTCGACTGCGTATAAGACCCGTAGAACGTGCCCAAACCTGTGGATGTCGTACCAGCAGTATTTTTGCCGAGATCCGAAGCATCATCGAAATCGCATGCAAATAGCGGAGAATGTGTGGTAATCTGAGGGTCGCATAAATATACTCAACCGCCGGTGGGGCCACAGAAACTGAAAATGATCGACCCCCGAACCCAGAAAGGAATTAGAACCTCGACGCATGAACACTTGTCACAACACATCAAGTGAGCGATGGGCAATGGCAATGCTGAAGATACCCATAAGACCGGCCAAAGGCATAGGAGGAGGTTTGGAGGGGTGGCACTAACGAAGGGACAACCATCGGCACGCGCTTCCAGGGCCTGGATCCTTCGTACATTACGCAACGTCCGCGCCCGCAGAGCCAGGATGCCTTACAAATTGCACAACATCCGCGCTCCAAGGGCCACGATCCCATGCAAATCACGCTGCGCCCGCGATTTCAGGGCCACGATCCCTCGTAGACTACGCTGCGCCCGCGCTCCCAAGACCACGATCCTCGGTGAATTACCGTGCGTCCACGCTTCCAGGGCCGCGATCCCTCGTGAATGATGTTTGCTCCGCGCTCGAGGGGCCAGAATCCATGGTAAATTAGAGTGTCTCCGCGCCCCCAGTCCACGATCCCCACTAAATTGCGCTGCGTCAGCGCCCCCAGGGCCTCGATCCCTCATGAATTGCGCTGCGTCCGCGCTGCCAGGGCCACGATCCCTGGTGAAGTACGCTTCTTCCGCGCCCCCAGCGCCACCAGGCACTCTGCGGGACACGCCGCGGGGACGCACCGCAGCACGTCCCAAGCGACGCGCCAGGGGACGCGCCAGGGGACGTGCCAGGGGGACGCGCCACGGAACGCGCCAGGGGACGTGCCGGGGGACGTGCCACGGAACGTACCGCGCGACGCGCCAGGGGGACGCGCCATGGAACGTGCCAGGGAACGTGCCAGGCGACGCGCCGGCGGACGTGCCAACTCCCGCGCTGGGGAGGCCCCCGGAGGCCCGACACCCTTCGACCATGGACCCCTCGCCGCGCATCCTGGCCTCTGAAGACCGCCGGCGAAATACCGCCGAAAACCGCCCGCGGGCGCGCGCCCCGCCGAGAGCGTTGAGGCCCGACACAGTCTTCGGCGGTCTTCGGCGGTCTTCGGCGGTCTTCGGCGGTCTTTCGGCGGTCTTCGGCGGTCTTCGGCGGGCTTTCGGCGGTCTTCGGCGGTCTTTCGGCAGTATTCAACGGTCTTTCGGCGGTCTTTGGCGGTCTTTCGGCAGTCTTCGACGGTCTGGACGGCGGCCCGACACGGTCTTCGGCGGTCTTCGGCGGCCATCGGTGTGAAAGCGAAATCCGCCGATCCGGCGTGTGAACTACAAGGAGCCTCAGCAAGAGCTTCAGCTCTGAGCCGAAGCAAGAGCTTCAGCTCTGCTTGGGGGGGGGGCGCCGGGGTGGCTCTGCCGGGGAAGCGGGGGAAGGGGGGGGGCCTCCATCTAGCGTTTTCTTTATGATTTGCGCATCCCCCAAATGTTTCGGGGGGTCCCAGGGTCGCCGGGGTGGCTCTGCCGAGGAAGCGGAAGAAGGAGGGGGGGTCCTCCATCTGGCGATTTCTGCATGATTTGCGCATCCCCCAGATGTTTCGGGGGGTCCCAGGGTCAAGTGGGTGGCTCTGCCGGGGAAGAGGAGAAGGGGGGGGAGTCCTGACCGAACTGATCTGGATCTTAAGCTCGAGCTGCCTGAGCACATAGTAGCTGGGGACACGCCAGGGGGACGCGCCGCGGAACGTCCCAAGGGACGCGCCAGGGGTCGTGCCAAGGGACGTGCCATGGGGACGCACCGCGGGACATGCCAAAAGGACGTGCTACGGAACGTGCCAATGGACGTGCCACGGGCCGCGCCAGGGGACGCGCCGCGCGACGTGCCAGGGGGACTCGCCATGGGACGCGCCACAAAACGTGCCAGAGAACGTGCGGGGTTGCAAGGCTGCGTGTATGGGTCTTGATGTACACTGCCAAAGTCTGTGATGTGCTGCGCCGTGCTGAATTGCGATGTGGCATGCCGCGATTGTGCTCTATATAGCGTTGTGGATCGAATCCCCCTTTGCATCCGAGTCCTGACCGAACTAATCTGGATCTTAAGCTGGATCTTAAGCTCGAGCTGCCTAAGAACATAGTAGCTGCCCCAGAGCTAGTTGACAGGGGGACATGCCAGGGGGAAGCGCCGCGGAACGTCCCAAGGGACGCGCCAGGGGTCGTGCCAGGGGACGTGCCAGGGGGACGCACCGCGGGACGTACCAAGAGGACGCGCTACAGAACGTGCCAATGGACGCGACACAGGACGTGCCAGGGGACGCGCCGCGCGACGTGCCAGGGGGACTCGCCACGGGACGCGCCAGGGAACGTGCCAGGGAACGGGCCAGGCGACGCGCCAGGGAACGTGCCAGGGAACGCGTCAGGGAACGTGCCGCGGGAACGTCCCTGACCCGGGGCCAGGATCACTCGTAAATTACAATGCGTCCGCGCTCCGTGGACCACGATCCATACTAAAGTACACTGTGTCCGCGTTCCCAGGTCCACGATGCCTTGTAAATTACACTGAATCCGCTATCCCTGGGCCACGAACCCTCGTAAACTACACTGCGTCCGCGCTCCCAGAGCCGCGCTCCCTCGTGAATTACGCTGCGTCCGCGCTCCCCGGGCCACGATCCATAATCCGCCGACCCCAGAAGGCGTGTGAGGAAAAGGGCGCCAGCCTTTCCTCGGCCGAGTACGCGAATAATGGTACATGCTGCCATTTATACATGTACATGTACACGAGTCCTCCTCGCCCCGGCATCGCTACCACATGGAGCCTCTGCTTATAGGAGCTTCCTCCCTGCGATATGACATCCGCCAGCCTCCGAAATCCTCTGGGCACAAGCTTTTAGAGACCCCGCACCCGACGATTTCTCGCCCAAAACCTACCGACGCCCCCCTCCGGGCCCCGGCATCTCCACCCCATGGAGCCTCTGTTCTTGGGACCCCCCCCCCACCTTACGATTTCTCGCCCAAAACCTACCGACCCCCCCCTCCTGGCCCCGGCATCCCCACCCCATGGAGCCTCGAGGGACCCCCCACCCTACGATTTCTCGCTCAAAACCCACCGATACCCCCCTCCTGGCCCCGGCATCCCCACCCCATGGAGCCTCTGTTTTTGGGACCCTCCACCCTACGATTTCTCGTCCAAAACCTACCGACGCCCCTCTCCTGGCCCCGGCATCCCCACGCCATGGAGCCTCTGTTCTTGGAGCCCCCCGCCCTACGACTTCTCAACCAAACCCTACCGACGCCCCTGCGATTTCTCATCCCAACCCTACCGACGCTCCCCTCCTGGCCCCGGCATCCCCACCCCATGGAGCCTCTGTTCTTGGGACCCCCCCACCCTACGAACCGACGCCCCCCTCCTGGCCCCGGCATCTCCACTCCATGGAGCCTCTGTTCTTGGACCCCCCCACCACCCTACGATTTCTCACCCAAAACCTACCGACCCCCCCCTCCACGCCCCGGCACCCCCACCCCATGGAGCCTCTGTTCTTGGGACCCCCCACCCTACGGTTTCTCGCTCAAAACCTACCGATACCCCCCTCCTGGCCCCGGCATCCCCACCCCATGGAGCCTCTGTTCTTGGGGCCCCCCACCCTACGATTTCTCGCCCAAAACCTACCGATACCCCCCTCCTGGCCCCGGCATCCCCACCACATGGAGCCTCTGTTCTTGGGACCCCCCACCCTACGATTTCTCGCCCAAAACCTACCGATACCCCCCTCCTGGCCCCGGCATCCCCACGCCATGGAGCCTGTATTCTTGGGATCCCCACCCTGCGATTTCTCGCCCAAAACCTACCGATACCCCCCTCCTGGCCCCGGCATCCCCACCCCATGGAGCTTCTGTTCTTGGGGCCCCCCACCTTACGATTTCTCGCCCAAAACCTACCGATAGCCCCCTCCTGGCCCCGGCATCTCCACCCCATGGAGCCTCTGTTCTTGGGACCCCCCCACCCTATGATTTCTCGCCCAAAACCTACCCGA